TTCCCCCCCCCCCCCCCCCCCACATCCTCATTTTGATATATTTCCTTCATAAATATAAGGAACTTATGTTGTGTAACGTACTTAGAAATTTGATCAAGCATCAATAAAACACGCATTCTAAATTATTCTCTTTTATTCTCAAGGACCGCTGGAAGCTAACGTGCAGCATCTGTGGCATTTCTTATGGGGCCTGTATTCAAGTAAGTCATTCACTTTATATGCTTATGCTGGTTAATGGTCTACACATTTGATATCTCTTGGCGGGTTCGCCAGTTTTCTCTACATTTAGGCCATACCCGGGCTAGAAATTTTGATTTAGCTGATATACATTCATGGTTTTCTCCTTTTGTCTATTAATAGTCTCGTAGGTAATCAGACAGTTTTTGCATAACTTCTCTACTTATTCAAGACTTGACAGCGTAGGAATACAGTAACATGCATAATTCAAGTATATTAATCTAGCCTACGTTTATATGTGCAATGTGCTTTTTGAATGTATGTAATCATTAATTATTCCATACCTACGTTCTAACTCCTTAAACACCATCGAATTAAACCACCACCTTTCCATAGAGTTTTCTCCGCTCCACCAAAAATTCTCTCTGCCCCTACCATACTTCAGCTTGGTAGTTTCCACCGCCTTTCCAGGGTTGAGCCCTGGGATTTGACAATGAACTTAAAAAGCTACCTTTTTTTTATTTTTAAAACAATAATTTTTTAATCTCTCTTTTCTTTGATAATGATGACTCTTGCTATTCAATTCACCCATCAAACATGCCACGATTCTTAAACAAGATAGTCGGCCATCAAACTGACCAACTTGCCTAAACCCACATGGGATGGAGAAAAGATTAACTAATGAACTTCCAAGTACCTGAACTTTCATTGCTTCGACTCTTTCTACACAATCAAAATGCGCAGTGCTGTGAATCCAAGTATATGAGAAGCTTTTAAGAGCTTATGGTAGTATATTCTCCTACCGGAGTTGTTCTGTCTTCAACCAATGGGCGCTAATCTCCTTTACTCTTTACGCCCATTTAGGGCAAGCGGATCATTTATGATGAAGAGGATTAACTTCAAGAGAATGATTTGGAGTTCTTGTAGAGTGGAATTATGTAGTACCAAACACGAGATAGATCTTCCAAAGAATAAGGCCTTTTTCGAATAAGTCAATTCATCTTGAACCCTACTCATCAGCGCCTGACCCTGAGATGGGGACCATCCAAAGCATATTAGCATGGTGTGCTCCTCTTTTTCGAACTGGGGTTTTAAACCAAACCTCTCCTCAGGAGGATAGATGGGGCGATTCGGGTGATATATTTGGCTGTGCCCTATCTTTGTTGAAGATCTTGGCATGAATTGTCAAGTTTCATAGCTCGCCCTCTCTTGCTTGTGCTTCTTCCCTTTTGACTTGCACTTACTTATTCCTCTCTCAATTTGGGATGGTAGAATGTATTTATATAGTAGCTTATATTTCTTGTATGTGGAGTAGCTTTTCCTTTTCACCTGGATGGCTGGGACAAAGGGTCGCGATCTCGCGAGGGTGAGCTAACCCCCAAAGCCAGTCCTCAATTCAGCTTGCAGGCTGCAACTAAGGCTTTTGGGAATTGATCAGATTCTATCTCTATTTCTTCTGTTTGAAGAAAGGAAGGATCCCAAAGAGTAGATCTTTCTTTTAGTTGTTGAATCTCTCTTTGATTGATCAATGTGTGGTATTCCGAATCCTCATTACTAATGAAATCCAAATGATCTCTGGATTGATCATAAGATCCTTTCATTTGGCCAGAATCCGTTACTTGAACGAAACTAGATCTTTTGGAATCATATTGAATATTTGACGATACATTTCGTACCTTTCTAAAAAATCGATTCTTGTTTACCAACCACACATTGTTTAAAGCCTCGAATGGCTTGCCAGGATTAAACCAAGGTGGGCTTTGATTCCCCTCTTCTCGAAGAGCGAGAAAGGCATGGCAAGTTTGGAAACTGGAATACTCAATCTTCATTCTTTGGTGAGAGTGACATAATGTTTTGGCCCTATATGAATTAGGAAGAAGTCTTTCACATATCAATATGCCATCCAACTGGCTGGTCATCCTCTTGGACCAGCTAGTGATCATTGCCTTGGTAAGCGATTACTTCACCAACTAGCTAATCAGACGCAAGCCCCTCCTCGGACAGATTCCTCCTTTTGCTCCACACGTGTGTGGTGGTTTCCGTCACTTCATTTTCACATGTTTCAAAGATCGATTTACCTACTTATGTTGTTCATCTCCAAATCATTGCTCAATCTTTATCAGATGATAAGCCCTTCTTTTTTTTCCTTCTAGATTTAAATTCTTGTTAGTTTTCATTTTCATGGGACTAATGTGGGCTTGGTGAAGAGATAGTCAGGAAATTGGCTTGATAGAACTGGAGCAGTATAATACTTTGATTGCTATATGCAAATTAGATCGTTTAAGTTTTTGACAAATTTTCCAACCAAGTTTTTTGTTGCTTTGAGTTTACTTTGCTGCACTATATCATATCTACTGCCATTCTGCAGTGCTCAAACAGTACTTGTCGGGTAGCATATCATCCTCTCTGCGCACGTGCTGCTGGGTTTTGTGTTGAGGTACTGTGCCTGTGGGTTTTATTCTATCCCTTTAAGAACTTGTTTTCCTTACATTCTGACTTGATTTTTTTTCTTTTAGTTGATATCTTATATATCTTATTCTTGCATATTTTGCCTGCATGATTTTGTAGCCCGATGATGAGGATGCACTGTCTTTGATTCCATTTGATGATGATGTGGAAGATCAATGTATTCAACTACTTTCCTTCTGCAGGAGGCACACACCTGCATCCAGTGTGCGTTTGTCTGCTGATGAATGCATTGGAAAAAAAGGCTTCGAACATGCAGACTGCAGTCCCCCATCTAACCCTTCTGGTTGTGCTCGCACAGGTATGCTGTCTTTATTTGTATTCTTTCGTCATCATTATTTTGATGATGCTTGGGGGTGTTAGGTCAAAAATTGGATGTGAGACCCATATGAATGAGATACGATATCACAAGATTGGGGGTGGTTTCCATGCACGTATCTTCCCCGTACCTGCTTGTATCATCTGTCTTTTTTTATGATGAATTATTGAATCTGTTCTAGTTGTTCCTGTGACCCTGTCTTGAATAATGGTGCTGAGAATTATATCTTATCCTAGTGTCCTAGATGTACGCTACTGTATTGTTACATCTAGAGGGAAAGTAATCTAGGCAAACTTACTAAGTAGAATAGAGAATTTATATCACTCTATTATCTTTTCAATTACAAAGATAAAGAACCAAAATAGGAATGTTATTACTGCCACCCTATTTTTCCATATTGAATGCCTTCATAATCTTCCTTGTGTAGGCTTACCATTATATATTCTATAGAAAAAAAGAGAGAATAAAAAAATGGAAGCTAGTGAATAAGGAAAGCCAAATCTTTCAACTCTCCTACTCAAGGTAGTGCAAAGATATTTCTCGTTCCTAGTGTTTCTATGGTGGTTATGGATAGCATGCGACGTATACATGATTCTATTTATAGGCTTGTATTCCAAGGAGCAATTATTTTAGATATTTAGGTTCAGTTTTTAACGAGGAACGAGGAATTGTAGATGATGTATGTATTGGAGTGGAGTGGATTGGTTGTAAGGTATCAGTACTACATGAATTCTATATGATATGAAGATTCCTATGAGGTTAAAAGGCCAGTTCTTTGTAAAAATTGTTAGATACGATTTGTTTTTAGTTACTGAGTGTTGAGCTGTTAGAGGATGAAATGTCCATAATATGAACACAACGCAAGTGAGGATAGATAAGATAAAAGAAATATATGCCAATAAATGGAGGTGACACTGAATGAGGATATGTCAAGGGAAGTACAACTAAGGTGATTGGGGGCATGTCCTCCGTATAAGAGGCTTTTGTTAACATGCTTGACATGGTAAACAACTAGTTGCATTAGATTTTCCAATGGTTGTAGCCAGAATAGAACGAAGTGGTGAAAAAATGATTTTATGGTTAACCATAATTTATTGGAGAAGACTTAATTTGTTGTTGTATGATGTGGGATGAAAACTTTGCCAATTGGCTGTTGTCAATAATATTGGATTTGTTTGTGTGGTTTAGCCTTTTGATATTGTGTTTCTGTTTTACACTTTACTCATGGTTAGGGATGGCTCGGCTCGGCCCATGAAACCACGAGCTCGGCTCGTCCAAAAAAGGGCGAGCTCGGCTCACGAGTAGACGTTGTTTTTCTTTTCTTTTTTTTTTTAATTTTTTTTAATTTTTTTGAGAACAAATAGGTAATTTGAAAAATAAAAAAGTAATTTTTTTTTAACTAAAAGAGATAGAAAAAATAAATATTAAACCTTTATTTTTTTATTTTTCTTTTTAAAATAGATAAAATATAAACCCTACTCCTTTATTCGAGTTTAGGACCGGCTACTTAAATTTTCAGTAGGCGGAGTTAAAAATTGTGCACGAACAATTTTTTATAGCGTGTACAATTTTTTAAAGAAAATTAAAAGTAACAATAAGAAAAGAAAAGTTTCATCAATATAATTAAATCAAATATCACTTACTTGACGACATGTAATTTCGGCATATTTATTTTGTAGTCGAAAATGAGCGCCCTGCCAATCCTTAACGCACATTAACGCTTCTAAAATATCTTCTTTCAGTCGGCTCCTGACCTCGCTCAAAACTCTTTTACCTGCACTAAAAGCAGACTCCGAAGCAACAGTGCTAACCGGAGGTGTCAGCAGATCTTTTGTAATCGCAGATATAACTGCCCAATGTCGTTCATACTTTCGCCAGAATTCAATTACTTCGTCTGAACTTTTTTTAATTGTTTTATCTGTTAGCATATTCTGGTTGAAATAATCAATTAATTCAGTAGGCAATGCATTATGGCTTGAGCCCGTAGATGTATGATGAGAATGAGATACAGATGGTGATGACATGGCAGTGGCATTAGATGAACACATTGCAGATGAATCAAATCTATACGAATTAATGCCTTGAAATAAATTAAATATTTCTGCATCTTCTTCTTCAATTTCAGTGGAAGGAGTAGGTGCAGATGGTACTCGACTAATATTGGTACCCATTCGGTTCGCATATAATTCATATATTTCACATAATGTTTGCTCTAAACTTCTATATGTGATAGGTGTATCAAATGTTAAGGCGTTTGAAATTTGATCAATTATATATTTAGTTCCCGATAAATTATATCGAGGGTCCATCACGCGTGCTAAAGGAAATAATATAGGCAAATCTTCCCAATATTTTCTAAATTTTAATTCCATAGCAATTATAATTTTACTAAAATTAGGGTCATTTCTGTATTTATGAAATGTTCTTGCAATTATATAAAGACGTTCAAGCACCATACAACTGGTGGGATAGTAAATGCCTGATAAAATCTTAGTGGTTTCATAAAAAGATATCAAAAAATTTTTAACTTTCAAAGCTAAATACGAATCACGTTCAGTCAACATACGCTCGTATCACTTCTAACATGTCTATTATTATAAAATTCAGTTATTAAATGTTCAAAACCTTCACATGACTTTAATAACAAGTAGAGTTCCACCTATGGCCTACGTCGCTAACAAATGTTTTAGCATTTTGCACTCCTATTTCGGTACAATAATCCTCAAATGCTTGTTTTCTATTTGGAGAGATTGTGATATATATTAGTGCGTTCCTAATATTTTGAAGTTCATCCTTTATATATTTTAAACCATCTTGGACAATTAAATTCAAAATATGACATACACAACGAATATGAAACAAATACCCACCAAAATCAAGTTATAGTACCCTATGCAATTTTTCAGCAACTACTTTATTAACACTAGCATTATCGAAAGTAAATAAACGAATTTTACCTTCGCAATGATATTCTCTAACAATACTAATAATAGCATTAAATATATTATTAGCTTTGTGAGGAAACTCAATAATTCTAAAAGCAATAATTTTTTTATGCATACACCAAAGTGGGTCTATATAATGTGCAGTTGCAGCTATATATGCTCTTTTATTAATTCCTTCCCATATATCTAAAGTTAAAGATATGACACCCCCATATTTTTGCAAATCCATAATTAATTGTTGTTTTGTTGAAGTAAAATACTGTATTGTATCAGAACGAAGAGCGTTTCGACTTACCCCAACGTACCTTGGCTGCAAATATTCTTTCATATACGAGACGTAGTGTTGGTTGTCAATTAATGCCAAAGGTAACTCAGTACCAGCAACAAGCTTCACCATTCCGGTTCGAGCTTTCTCCTCCGAATACACCCATGTGGATAGGGGTTTAGTAGAACCACCCGCGTCTGGGCTGTCAAATTGCAATTGTGTTTGACAGCCTGGAATAAGTCCGTGTTTGGTCGCACATACTTTGTAATGACGGTTGAGATGGGTGATACCAATTTCTCTTTGTCATGTCAATCTTTGTTGGCAGTATTTACCTACTGCTTTGGATTCTTGGACTCCATTGACGATTTTTCCCGTTAAAATCAACTTAAAGTGATCACAACATTTTGTTTATTTTTTCCCCTTTCGCTTTCCTCTCGCATTAGGAATGTTTAATTCAGCCTCTTCTTCTTGATCGTGTTCTTCTTCGGAAACGTCAGTATCATCCAAATTAATTGGATAATTTGGATTGCCGCTTACATGATGATGAAGATCCA